TGGCTTAGTAGGTTAAGCGTCTGCCTTCAGCTTAGGTCATGATCCCAGGGTCCCCACATCACAACGGGCTCCCTGCTCATCGGAGAGTCCGCTTGTCCCTCTCCCTCTGCCCCTTGCTTGTGCTCTCTTGCTCATGCTCTCTTGCTCTCTCTCTGTCAAATAAATAAACTCTTAAAAAAATCTGACTTCTGCTTGGTTGTCACATTTTTTTCATATCTCCATTCAGGTAACAAAAAGACTGACCCAAACAAGATGAAGAGCAGAGTACATTTATTGGTCACTCTGGGTATGAGTATATATTTTCAAATAGCTAACAAGCAGCTTACATTTCTCCTCACTTGTCCCACAGATGAGACTTCATCAAAGGTATATCTAACATCAAAATGTGCATCTGCCAGAGCCTCCCTAACCTCTAAGTCTACGGCCCTACTAAAAGAAAAAGTCTACATTGACGTGTTCTTCTCTTCTCATCTAATTTGCACAATCTCTTGCCCATTCTTGAAAATCCAGATATTTGACCACTCCAGCTGAATTCAGGTAAAATATCTATGTACGCCTTCCTTCCACCGAAAAGTGGTATCATGAGAGGAAACCATGTGCCAGATGTTGGATGTTAAGAATACAGACATACCATAATAGTTCATGGGTATTTACTGTGTACCAGACTCTGTATAGAGAACATAATACTTTGTTCGTCCCTTGCCCTTATGTCAGTCTTTCAGAAGAATCAGTCCTATCTCCAGATTCTTCTCTATGTCTACAAATCCCCTCTGGGTCTCCTTCACCACCATGTCTTGCTCTACTTCCTGCCACACACCCCTACTTCTGTGTTCTTGATGCACTCCAACTTGGAGACCATATTTCTTACCACAGCTTGTGTCATCCCTTCAGCAACAATGATAAGCTCAGCAATATCAGACATCACGAGCATGATCCTCTCAATTCACATTTCCAACTGACTGTCTCACAGAGCCTACCCTCTTTCCATAGCTGAAGGGATCTTCATTTACCAGAATCAAACCCGGCCGTCAGGGTCCAACACTAATCCTCCTCCTACACAGGAATAATCTGATCTCCACAGTCAGCACACCTTTTAATTTTTCCCTGTATCAGCGTTTCTATAGCATCTGGTATCACTATTAAAGCATTTAACACACAACTGCCTCAAAAGCACAGTTATGTACATGTCTATAACATCCATTAGGTAATCGGCAGAGGAGAGGTGGGAAGTGAGGAGAGCTGCTGAGGTTTAAAGTTGTCTTTCATGGGTCTGGTTTAACTTCACATAGTCTCAGGTTCTCTATCTATACAATGGAAACAAGACCCTTACTGTATAGGGACATCAGGAAGACAATTTAGAAAGTAGTTTTCCATACTGGGAAAACATAGAAGGGGCTGGAAAAATGGAAACTGCCTGGAGCAGTAGTGTGTTTGCTCTGAATCCTTGAAGTCAGAGCTGTTATCTTCTAGAGCACCAAGCCAGAACTTTGTCACATTAGTACTAACTAACATCTGCATAGTGCTTTACTAGAGATGCAACATATTTCCATGAACTGAAAACTGAAATGCATTTATTTACTATTAAAGCATCCTTCTAGAGGGGAATTTTAAAATAAGAGAACTATTAGAGGCCACTGTGCAAATCTTGGCTTCTTTTATTTTTTAAACTACACCTTTTTGGATCCACAAAAGAAATGACATAAATAACTCCTTTCTGACCCCACCAGGTCCTCTTCAGTGAAGTTCACTGACATCTCTGTAGTGTTAGTAGAAACATGAGAAGGTGGCAGCTTCTCAAAAGGTTTATGCTTCTTTATAAGATGCTGTTATTGAAGGAGTAAACAGCATTCTCTATGTCAGAGTCCTAGAAGTGAATATCCTTTGGGGGTTCCCATTCATGTTTTCATTCCTTTGGAATATTGCAGTATTCTATGGTGGGTTTTAGCTAATTACCTAAAACCTTAATGAGAAGTTTTCATTGAAAGGCTCAGAATGCTCCTTTTTCTAACTTTTTATTCCACCTCTTCCTACAATGTCACGTACTCAACCTAGTTTTTCTATCGTTTATAGTATATGCCCAGAAAAAAAAAAAAAAAAATTGAGGAACATAAGAACTTTTAAGCTATAAAGGCTTTTGTTTCACTAGACTAAAAAATTCCTCCTTTGGGGTCCTTCATGTTCTTTTATTTTCTCTGAGGTATAAGCGAGAGGCCTAGGAGCCCTAAAAAACAAACTTGGACCTGTCTATTGAAGAAGGGATATGGCTTTTTCCGCCATCTTGGAGTCTGTGGAGGCCTGCTGGGAACAGGACTCCTATAACGCCAAATAATGTCTGGAAGGCTGTGGTCCAAGGCCATTTTTGCTGGTTATAAGCAGGGTCTCCGGAACCAGAGGGAGCACACAGCTCTTCTTAAAATCGAAACTGTTTATCCTCGAGATGAAACGGAATTCTGTCTAGGCAAGAGATGTGCTTATGTGTACAAAGCAAAGAACAACACAGTGACTCCTGGTGGCAAACCAAACAAAACCAGAGTAATCTGGGGAAAAGTAACTCGTGCTCATGGAAACAGTGCCATGGTTCGTGCCAAATTCCGAAGCAACCTTCCTGCTAAAGCCATTGGCCACAGAATCCATGTGGTGCTGTACCCCTCAAGGATTTAAATTTAATGAAAAGTAAATAAAGGTGTAGATTTGTTCTCTCGTAAAAAAAAAAAAAAAGAAGAAGAAGAAGAAGGGATATGGCACATTTTTTAGATTTTAATATCAAAACCAGAAAACTCCTAATCACTCATATAATGATGGATGTATTTGATGGATGTAAGAGAAAAATAGTTATGAATTGAATGAGAACTCAGTAACTATGGATTGCAACTGGTAGGCCACAGGTCTTATGTGGCCTAAATACACTTTTAATGTGGTCCTTATAGTTTACAAAATTAAGGGCCCTTCACATAAAAATATGTAAGCTTCTGTTTCCCTTGAAAAACTAGAATGTTTTAGAGCCGGGGTGACAACAATCAGCTATAGTAGAGTTGGAACTGCCCTTTTTATAGTGGTTTGTATGTTCCAAAGGCCACAATCCACAGCCTCTCTCCCACATGGCCCCCACTGGGCCTGCTGCACTCCTTATCTTACCTGTTTTTGGAAAGACAGACACAGGATGTGGAACCTGGGTGGCTCAGTGGGTTAAGCAGCTGCCTTTGGCTCAGGTCATGATCCCAGAGTCCTGGGATCGAGCCCCACATCGGGCTACCTGCTCAGTGGAGAGCCTGCTTCTCCCTCTCCCTCTGCCTGCCTCTCTGCCTATTTGTGCTCTCTCTCTGTCAAATAAATAAATAAAATCTTTTAAAATAAATAAATAAATAAATAAGACAGACACAGGATTTTTTTTAAAGGCAAAGAACTTGGATCCAAAAAGGGCTTCCCCATTCACTCGCTCCGTGACCTTCCACAAGCTCTGAGTCTTGGTCCCTCAGCTTTAAACTGAAGATAATTCCTTGACCTCACAAGGTTGTTGTGGGGAATAAAAAGAAGCGTAGGAAAAGTACTCTGTAAATTGTAATATAAAATATTTGTCATCTTTATTCATTTGCCAGCCCCCTGTCAGTTGCATAAATGCCCTCTACCTGCCTCAGCTATTACTAGTTTCCTTGCTCTTCATATTACTACACTCTGTGTGGCACAGTTTAAAATCTAAATGAAAAAAATTTGATATATTTCCTTGCCTCGTTTAATAAGAGGTAAAAAGATGAACAAATACCAAAGGAAAAGAAAATGAACTGTTGAATGTCAGTGGATCTTTACTAGGTCATTTCTGTTCCTAATGAAGGTATGAAATTGGATAGCTGATCCGTTCAAGTGCTGTTTTCAGTTCACCCACCAGGCACCTGAGGCCTCAAAGTAAAACTGACAGCCCAGTCATTAGGGGTACCTGGGAGATAAGGAGTAATGACCTCCTCCTTGGGGCTCACCCAGTGCTCCAGTAAAGGATCCAACCCAACAGAAACAAAGAAACAAACAAAGAAAAACCCAAAAGAACCTATAAAGCTTTCTCTGTGCCTCCTTCCTTTCAACATTTCAATATAAGCTCCAAAACCTTAGTATCTGAAGTAATAGGCCACAGCACAATTTCTACATCTATACCTATCAACCTATAAACATATATGTAAAAAAATAAAACACTGAGGGACCTGAAAGAAAACAGAATCTTCTTAGAAATGGGCAGAGGTGCAGAAAACTGCACTTAAATGATGCAGTGGACATAGAAATGTTAGCAAAGATTTTTGTCATTAGTGCTATCTCCTTACATTAGGAATTCACTGAGGTATTCCTGTTCTGGTCAATTTATAACAGATCATCCTTAATTCCTCTTTCACTTTTCGTGTTAAGATAATCATGCCTGAGTGAACAGCAAGATATAATGTGGATATAGAGGGAAAAAGGGGTTTTCACTGGACTCATTGTTCTTTACAAGATCACCAAAATGGGAGTAATTTATGATTCAAGACACAGTCTGTTGAAAAATTCATCTGACGAATCCGTTTTAAAGCATACCATCAAGTGCATTACCCCTTTTCTTGAAGTTGGATGAAACCATGCCCAGAATACCTATTAACGATTGCCAAATTACCACATGGTCCTCAGTGTGTATTTTATTTTTAAAAATCAAAATAAATAAAAGCATCATTTTAAAAAGCCAGTTATTTCAATAAATGTCCCAAGGCTGATGTTTAAGCAAGTCTCCTTGGCAACCAAGGAGCACAGTACATCTCCGGCTGGGGGAAGGGGAGAAGGCGGGGGAGCAACTCCAAGGTTGGTAGAATAAGTAACTGGAGTAGTAATTGCTCCCGCTAGACGACGCTGGTCGAGCTGCACGGGCTGCATACCCCTGAAATTTCAACTCCGGTCTCGCCCCCAATGGCGCACCAGCAGCCTCCCACCCCCTCCCTCCGGTCCGCAGGCATCTACCCCGAACAGGTTACAAGGAGAGACTGGCTTACCCGATGGGGTGAGCGGTCTGCTGGGTTATGTATGTACCCGAGGCGGCAGCGCAGGCACCGGGCGCTCCCTGATGCACAACGGCTCTGCTTCTCCCCACGATGCTGAGGTTAAGAGAAACCGCAGTAAGCTTCGCACTGTCGGTTTGGGGATGCGGTTGTGAAGACAAGATCGGTAGCATGTATGTCTGTGTGTGTATGTGTGTGTGTGTGCGCGCCCGCGCGCGCGTTTTTCAGTGTGTGTGTGTGTGTGTGTGTGTGCCCGCGCGGTCCCCGACTCTCCCGCGGGGTAACAGTGTTTGCTAGTAAATAAAAAGCAGCAGCCAGCAGGGCAGGTGGCGCGTCCTCGTTCACTCTGCCCCAGGCGACCCCAGCTGCCTGGAGACGCACCTTGGCGGACCCTGGGGCTGGCTCAGACCGTGAGGCGGCTCCGCCCCCTCCCGCCTCCGGCGAGCCCGCACGCACGCCCGCCCCCTCCCCCTCCGTCGGCGAGCCCGCGCGCACGCTCCCCTCCCCCCACACCCGCCACCGGGGAGGCGCGCACGCTGCGCTTTCCATCCCCCACCCCCTCCGCCCCGCTTCCGACGGCGAGCCAGCGCGCGCGCCCGCTCTCCCCGGAAGCCCCCCTCCTCCGCGCAGCCCCCCTTCGTGCTCTTTGGCACCTGCGCTGTGGGCTGCTGGGTCGCAAGCACAGCGTGAAGCCAGAGCTGCGCCCCCGCCTGCGATGGGCGAGACCCGGGAACCCAACTTGCGTGTTTCCAGGGTCTCTTCCCAGGGCTGGGAGCAACCTGTGGGAACCGACGCTGTGACCACAGAGCACTGTCCCTCTTCTTCCGTGACCTTGACCCTACTGACTTGTCAAGTTCACATTGCCCCTATTCTTAGCCGCCCCTTTTCGTCTTTATGGTAGTGCTGAGCGTGATTTCACAGTAACTCTGAGGTTGGAGGGAAGCCCTGAACCTAAGAATGAGGAGGGGTATTTGGTTACAGCTAATTCAGCATTAACACAGCAAACAGACCACAGCCCAGAACACCTCGGTTAAATTCCAGGGCCTGACCCACTCTTGTGCCAGTTGGGGGTCATTGATGTCATTCCTGTGTAAAACATGCTTACAATACACACTTAAGCAAAGTGAATAATTTTAATAGGTAAAAATATTCCATATTCCACTTTTGCATTGAAAATCTTGGTCCGATGTAGAGTTAAGCCGTCAGGTAAAAGAAGAATGAAACTCTAAATTGGGGTAAACTGTATTTTGTAGAAGTTCAGGGTTTAAACTACTACAAAGATGGAATTTCACAGAATGTTAAGTCCTATCTCTTGCAAGTTTGTGTTCTTCTACACTTGGGCTAGGAACAGTGCCTTGATCTACTTTGAGATGTCCTTAATATTTGTTAGTCTCAAGTCAATGGCTCAGCAGTTTTTTCACTTTCAGACCCACAGGTTTTGTGGGACTGTTTGCTCCCCCCACCCCTTGGGGCCTGACTCTCTGGATTCCAGTCCTTAATTACCATGGTGTTGATATTTGGACTTTAGGACTCTGGGGACCTACTTAGCTAGCAGCCCTGGAAGAATGACAACTGTGAACGTTAGTTGCAGTACTATTCTCCAGAATTTTTCATATGCAATTTGGTATTTTTCATTGGGTGAGGTTTTATACCAGAAGATCAAATGGGAAAGCATGTTTAAACCCGAGATACTATCAGTGCTGTCAATAAATAAACACTTCTTTAAGATTCATAAAATATTGGTCACTAAAGTGAATGCATTTAAAATTTTAAACCCATCTATATTGATTGGATTATTTGTTTAGAATAAACAAAAGGTACTTATTAAAAATAATTAAATTGAAAGAACAAAGAATATAACTATATTTACATAGGGAAAAAAGTCTTTACGCCACCAGCTCACCATCTGTGTGAGGGTCTCTTACTGTCCAAGATGGGTCTTTCTTGTACATCATAGGTAATCCGACCCACTAGCACAATGCCAGTCACATATTAGGGGCTCAATAAAAATTGCTGGCTGACAGATACTGAGGAATTGACTAAGAAAATATATGTTAAGTGTAGAGTAAAATATCTGGTTCAGAGAGGGCATTTTTCTCCCCTAAGGGACTCCTTAAGGTTGATTTAAAGTATAGATTTTTTTATTAAAAAACTTTTATTTCTCTAAAATAAGGGACTCCATAGTTTGCTAGACAACCATCAGAACCCAACACAAATGTGTATTCTGGTATATTCTGTTACTAGAAGAGCAAGTAGATTTTAGGCACTATTTCTCTGCTTAGTACCATTACATATGATCGTTTTCCTCATAGAGAAAATAGCTTAAAACAATGCTTCCCCAAATCTGTTCTTTGAAATACTAGTCATTTGTTCAACCATTTTTTTTTGAACTCTCAGAATGTGTTAAGCAGTGTAATTGGTGTAAGGCTTTCGGTTGTCAATAAATAGGCATTGTCCCTGTTTCAATGTAATGATATTGTGAGAGATAAGCTAAAGAAAGAAAAATAAAAAGTGTGGATCTTTTGGTTGCAAAGTGACAAAAAAAACTACTCCAACCAACTTAAGCAAAAAGGAATTTGATGGAAGGATAACAGGAGTTCTAAGAATCAATGGGCAGTCAGCCCACACAACCAGGCTCAGAAGCCTGCAGAAGTTAGAGCAATTCCCAAGGGCACAGAAGCCGTGATAAGAAGATCATGTTGGGGCAAAAATGTCATGATCACGTGCCTTCCACTGCTGTAATGGGTACACCCGAGTCTATTGCTCTGTGATACTCCCAAGGCAGATTCTAGCTTTCAGTTGTCCTAAATTGTAGCTGGGGTAGGGAGGGACCCCTGATCAAGGCCCCACCAGATTTAAGACAAGAAACGGACCCTGGGTGGCTGGAAAGCAACATACATTCACAGAGGAAATAGGGAGCCCAGGACAAATAAGCTGGGGTTCACAGAAGAAATAGGGAGCCCAGGACAAATAAGTTGGGGTAACACCGAAAACGCTCCCTGTCACATTGTTGTACTTAAAGACTCTGAGATCTTGCAGTAAAGAAACCTCTTTCACTTTTTTTAACAACTATCCTAAAGTTTGGTTGAGTACAGAATACTTTTTCTTTTTTAGCTTACCCCTTCACACACTTTAGGAAGCATTTTGGAACACAGTACATTTTTGTGGCTTTCTCTCCCCCCATCTCTCATCACCTTGCCCATGAACCAAGATGTGAAAGCCTAGCATAAATTTAGTGTTATCAAGCTTTTATAAAATCTATATATGATGATCAGAGTTGAAACTGTCTTTAGAAAGCTCAGATTTCTACCTAAAACTACATCATAAAAGAGAGCTATGGCATAGCTCCTTCTTCAACTCCAGAACAAACACCTGCTATAACTGCCTTGTCCCGTAGCAAACGAGAAAGTGTCATTCTTAATGCCACACTCATGGTTTTCTGTTATAAACCAGTAATGACATTAAGGAGTCACTGAGCCAGATTTCTAATTCCCGTACTTCCAGAGAGAACAGATTGTTATTAATTAGGCTAATACCGAATTTTACTTGGGGCTGATATTATCCAGTTTTCAAGCAGAAAATATGAAATAACTCTGGCTAACACCTCAATTTATTCATTACCTATGGGTACATTTTGTAGCTAATTCATGCTATTCGTCAGGAACCAGTATCACTCAAAACCAGTTATACCATGGAAAAGTCTTTTACCATTAACATTTTGATTGTATTTTTTGCCACATTCTCTGGTGCCAAGCACTATTGTTGTTTATGTTGTTTTTAGTCTAATTCAGTCTAAGCAACTAGACACATAATGGACACTCAGTAAATATTTACTGTGCTGAATAGAAAATAGTCCCTACCCACAAGACAGAATATTTTAATTGTAGTACTAAGTAGGTACAAACATAATGCAAAGGGATTCTCAGTCATTATTACAGTAAGGTAAATTTTAAAATAAATTTTTTTTCATGTATCAGATTGGCAAAGATGTAAGAAGATTATAATACCTAGTGTTTGGGAGCATCTGGGTAAATAACTTTCTTTTTTTTTTTTAAAGATTTTATTTATTTATTCATGAGAAAGAGAGAGAGAAGCAGAGGGAGAAGCAGGCTCCCAAGGAGCAGGGAGCCCGATGCGGGACTCGATCCCAGGACCCTGGGATCATGACCTGAGCCGAAGGCAGCCGCTTAACGGACTAAGCCGCCCAGGCGCCCCTATGCTAGGGTTACTGTTGGTTCACAAACTGGCCCTAGTACATGAAGGGCAAGGAGAGACCAAAGAAAAGAGGCAGAGCACTCCAAATTGCTAGGGGGCAGGTTCACTAAGCAAGGGAACTTATGTAAGAGGCTTGTCTCTGGTGGCCACAGGACAAGGAGATCTCTGCCCCTGCCTGCCAGAATCTTAAAAGTTTATATACAGAGGCTTTAACGGGGTTCAGTCATGTGTGCCATCCAAGACTATGTCCCTACAGTGGCTCACACTATGGGAAAGGTGGGCTGAATGTACCTTCAGAGGACAGAGGAGGTGGTGAGGGGCCTCTAACTGCCTGGGTCCAGCTCTCAGGTCAACCAGCAGTCATGTCCTCTCCATGACCTCTGCCAACAGTTAGCTCAAGGAAAGTGCAAAAATGTTACGTGAAAGGGTACTCATGATAGTTTGGTAATATTCAAAAGAAAGAGAGGGAAAGAGGGAAAGCGATGGGGGGAGGGGGAGGGAAAACTAGAGTCCATCATGTGGAGACAGTCAAACAATTAGGATTTAAAGTGGCCATTAAAACAATTTAGTAGATCATGGGGCACCTGGGTGGCTCAGTTGTTAAGCATTTGCCTTCGGCTCAGGTCATGATCCCAGGGTCCTGGGATTGAGCCCCGCATCGGGCTCCCTGCTCAGCGGGAAGCCTGCTCCTCCCTCTCCCGCTCCCCCTGCTGTGTTCCCCTCTCTCACTGTGTCTCTCTCTGTCAAATAAATAAATAAAATCTTTAAAAAAAATTTAGTAGATCTTTACACACTGATGCCAAAGACATATCACTGAGAGGAAAAAAACGCAAGTTGAAAATTAATGGGAATATGATCTAGTTTGTGTAAAAGTAGAGGAAGAGAGGGAGGGCAGGAGAGAGATGTGTGTGTGATCATGTGTTTTTCCATTTTACTGGCTCAAGAGGAAAGGGGTGAATCTCAAGCTGGCTTCATTCAGTCCCCCCTACACTGGGACTTT